ATAGAGCCTATATCATATTTCATGCTGTCTGGGAGGGGAGGGGAGAAATTTTAGAACTCAAAATCTTATCAAAGTGAATGTTGAAAACTAAAAATAAATAAATTTAGTTTTTAGAAAAAGAGAATATAATTTTGGCATCTGTGTTTGAGAATAGTTTGGAAAGGGAGAAAACCAAGCAGGGAGGCCAAAAATTTAAAAACACAAACAAAAAAAGGAAATAACATTAACCTGGCCTGAGCCGGTTTTTATGGAAGCCTGCTGGTTCATAGCCAGCAGTCTCTGCAGAAGTGATCCTGCTCCGTCTTTACCTATAGCCTTGTTGAATGGATTGGTACCTTAGGCTTCCTGACATTACGACACACTTTTACCCCCAAGCTCAGGGATTCCCTTCTCCTGTCCCCTTATTTACACGTTGTAAATAAGACAGTCAATCTCAGAAGAAGCCTCTTCGTTGTTGTCGTTAGAAAATCCTCCCCCCCCCAGTCTCATTCCACTCTTTACGTTAATGCCTCTTCAACTCAAATTGCTCATAAGTTGTGACTGAAATTGCTTATTAGCCCTCCCTCATGACAGAAAAACACCTAAGTACAACCAGCCAGGTCAGTGACTGTTAGAGTGTATGCAGCATTCCCCCTCCCCAGTTCCCCCATGGACCCACCAAAATAGAGGTACATCTATTTCTTCATGCCTTCTCTTGAGCAGAAGTTTGCCATCAGTCGTTCAGTGATCAGTCTCCCATTGGTGTTATTTTTGTTGACATTACTGCAGTTTTGCTTGTTTTATATTGTCCATTCATGCCAGTCTTTTCATGAATATCTGAATTCTTCATATTCAGCATTTCTTGTAGAGCAATGATTTTCCATAACAGTCACATACCAATCATGGTTTGTTCAGCCAGTGGGCATCCACTGGGTTGGATTTTTCCCAGGGTTTTTTTAAATTTTGTTTTGTTTAGTTTTGGCTACCATAAATAGTATTGCTATGAATATTTTGGGACTGGTAGAACCAAGCCCTAACCCTGCCCCACTCAAATCCTTCCTTATAATAAAGAAAAACACTTAACCAGTGCTTTTCCTGTCAGATTTACTTAAGTCTACCTTTTGATGAGGGAAGGACACTTTCAGCCCCAACCCTCATTCTAGCCACATCTGCTATATGTTGAAGGTTGTAGGATTGTGAAGCTGGGTGCCGAGGAATTCCAACCACTGGTCTTGGGGTCAGTGATAAGGTTCAAGGGCCAGCCATCCTATGGGTTAGCGTACTAATATTATTCAGATGGGTTTTTTCAGAGTACTTAGGAGTTATATAATGTGTTAATTCTTCCAGTAGACTTTAAGGTCTGCCTTGGCCCTTCTTAGGGAACAGACCCGTTTGTGTTTGGCTAATCAGGCATCTTGAGAAGGCTAGGGGTCCCTATTTAGTGGGAGAGTGATGTGGGGTGTTTGGGGGTTGGCATGGCCTGGAATGTTTCCAAAGTTTGGTGGTGTGCTGTGTAGCTATTTTCTAGGAGAGTGACTCAGGAGTGACCGAGTGACAGGAGTGATATTCTGCCCCCTTGTTCGCATTCTCACCCAGTCCTGGCCTCTGACTTTGCTGCCAGTGTTCCTTCCACGTCTTGCAGAGGCTTCATACAGATATAGCTGAACCCTGCTCCCGACACCACCCCATGCCATTTTCTTTGCCCACATTACGTTTGGAGGCAGGCTGGCCCTGGGTATAGTTTTCACAAAGGTCTTCTTTTGGGAAGTTTCTTGCTCTGCAGTGTCCCATTCATGTTGGACTCACCTCACTGGCAAGCTTGCCTCGCCTTGTGGGCTGCCCAAGGATGCTGAATGCCAGCACAAGGGGAGAGGACAGAAGACTCCAAGGAGGAGTGTGCCCTGGGGTGGAGGGGCAGTGTCTGGTTTTGCTTTGGTTTTGTTTTGTTTTTTTTGTAACTCCCATTCTCCCTTAGTTCTTAGAGTGCATTATAAAGACTGTGGAAGGATAGATCATATTTTGTGCCTCCTCGTTTCTTTGAATGAAACTTTTATATGAAGAGATGGGACAGGAGATAAAGGATGGGAACAGGGGATAGAGGATGAGAGCAGGGGTTAGAGGCTGGAGATAGGGCATAAAGGATAGAGGATGGGGAGAAGGGACAGGGAAGAGGATGAGACTTGGCATTCCAACGGTGAAAGGAACTCCCGGGTGAGGAAATTCCATCTACCAATGCAGACTGCTCTGCTACTTACAGAGTTGCCTAGTTTCTGACCAGTATATGTCCATAAATGTCCACCCCATATAAACCTAATACACAGAGCATTCCTGAAGCAAATATCTGTTGTTGAATTAGGGAAGAGCTTTGAACAAGTCTCTTATCTGTTTCCCCACTTCCCATCTGCTCTGACCTCCACCTCCCTCCAACCCCAAGTAGTTATTAGCTAGAAGCCTTTTGGTTAGACAGACTCTATGTACTAGGGATTGAAGCAGGATTAGGGGCTCTGTGGTATAGTAGAAAGAATGCTGCTATTAAGAAGCCTGAGTTGCTGTAATAATACTGACTCGCTTTTATTCAGGTACACAGCTTAGTAGCTTTTAAGTTTGAAACTTAATAAGTGTGCAACTGCACTAGGACTTTTGGGACACCATTGTCTAATGCTCTAATGAACACTTGAAAGTTTGCAAAGAGCTTTATATGCATCGCCTCTTTTGATCCTCACAGCAGCCCTTGTGAGGCAGGTGCCATTGTTATACCTATTTTGCCGATGAGGAAACTGAGGCTCAGAGGAGTTAAATGACTCAGTGGTGGGAAGTATCTGAGGTCTTCTTTGAGGGTCTAGCACTTTATCTAGTAGTAGGTTATCATTATAATTTGCCAGGCTTCCAACTGGACTTTGGGGCCTTGGGCAAATTGCTTCCCATCCCTAGGCTTCGGTTTGCTCCTCTAATATGAGATTGGACTTGGGAGTTAGTCTCTATGAGTCTGGCCTCTTGAGAGCACCTAGGTGGTACCATGGATAGAGGGTTGGACGTGAAATTAGGAAGACCTCAGACTCTGCTGCTGACTTTGAGAAGGACCCTGGGCTAGTCACTGAGAAGAGAACTATGCGTGCCTCAGTTTCCTCATCCGTACTCTAAGTCCCTTCCAGCTCTAAATCTGTGATCCTCTTCTGAGATGGCTCGATGTTGTTACAAGGCTAACTACAATGCATGGGATTCCATTCCTTTCAGTTTGAAGCCCTTTTTGTCCCTTGCTGGGGGCCAGGGTGGGAGCTCATCTGCTGCAGCTTATGTGTTTGTGTGCCTCCCTCCTCTCTTGGTCTGGTTTGCTTCTTTTTTTCCCCCTCCCCCTCCAACCACCATCTCACTGTCCTTTCCTTAAAAAATAAACTTTCCTCTTGCTTTTCTTCTCTATTACTGCCTCTGTGATGCGGTAGATGACAGTAGGGAAAGTGTCTCGAGGAATAGGGGCAGTGGCTGAAGTTCTGGTCAATCTGTATATGAATGATCACAGACCCAAGACCCAGGCTGCTTCTCCAGAGCGGGTAAGACTGCCTCCCCCCCCCCCCCGCCAGTGACCTCTCCCTTGAAAAAAAAGATGCTGCAAGGCCCTGATTCCCATCCTGTTCAGATCCCTGGCTCCCCTGCCTCCTATGCTCTGAGAAGGGTGGACTAGCAAGACAACCTTTAGCCCTAGTTTGTTGTTCTGCCCCCTTGATGACCATGTCACTTGAAAAAGTAAATGTGCCCCCAAACTGATCATTTTGATTGAATTTAGAGGACGGTAATGGACCAAACATCCCTCCCACCCAATTCATCTCCTTCTTCAACTGAGTCCCCTCCTGGCTGGGATCACCAGGTATTACATTATTCAAAACCACTAACTTGGTTTGAATCCAGCACTTCTTCCTTTCACCTCCCCTTGACATAATTACTAAGCTAACTGGTGCGTATTTATCTCCTCTCCCCACCCCACCCCCATGGGCTCTGTGAACTTAACCTTTGATTGCTTAATACTAAGGAACTCCAGGTAATAAACTTGTGTGTGTGTGTGTGTGTGTGTGTGTGTGTGTGTGTGTGTGTGTATGTATGTGTGTATGTGTATGAAGGTCTTGGGTTGGGCAAACTTTGCTTGCCTTCCATAAGTTACTAATGTACACTTCATTGGGACTGGAATGGAAAATGTCACATTTCCCATTTGGTCACTTTTAGCTTGTCTTCTCTTGGAAAAACATTGTTTTATGCTCCTGTTCAACATGTTATTAAGGTCATGGGGAGGGAGGAAAGGCAGAGGGTCCATGTAGATAGAAGACAAGAAGGCTTGGGTTCAAGCCTCACCTCTGACATGTACCAGCTGTCTGACTTATGAGGAAGATGCCACCTTTCAGTGTTCCAAGACAACTCTCAAAAACTATCCCCTACAAGATCTCATCGAAGAAGGGTAGTTCCACACCAGGAGTTCCCTGCTGATAAAATCTCAGGTCTAGGCAAAAAAAAATGTAGGGTAGGGTTGGGGTTGGAGAACTTTTAAAAAATAGTAATTATCAGAATCTTGGAGCAGACTCAATTTGGAAAACAACACTGAAATCCTAAAGTTTTGCCATACGGACATGGTGTTACAGTATCCCAGGCAGGAAAATATTTTTTTCTCAGCCCCTCCATTTCTAGGTATTTTTTCTGCCCTCTACAGTAGGGGAGGATGCTGTAGTGGGCTGAGCCTTTGTCTGTAGAGGCAGTAGGCCTGGGTTCCCTTGCTTGCTCTGCTGCTCCCTACTGGTCTTGCCTTAGATGAGCCCCTTCCTTTGGGGGAGGGGAGGCTCAGTTTCCTCACCTGTGGAATGAAGGAGTTAGACTAAGATGGCATCTTGGGAGTTGTTCATCAGCTTTAAGCCATAGGTTCTTGCAAGGCCAGCCTGCATGCTAGGACATCTTGGGTTTTTGCTGGCATTGGTGGTTACAATCCAAGACTCTTCTCTTCTGACTGGCTGTTTTTCTCCTTCCTTCTTCTATGTCCCCAGGGATCTTTGAAAAAAGAATTCCCCCAGAACCTGGGAGGAAGCGACATCTGCTATTTCTGTAAGAGGCGTGTGTACGTGATGGAGCGCCTGAGTGCTGAGGGCCACTTCTTTCACAGGGAATGCTTCAGATGTGAGATCTGCTCTACCACACTTCGCCTGGCTGTCTATGCCTTTGATGCAGATGAAGGTAAACCCCTTGAGTGGCTACCTTAAAGAGCAACATCCTAGGGAATTCCCAAGTTGGGGAGAGAGGAGGGCTGAGCCCTTACAGCCTGTAGACAGATAGGTCTATGGTCTTATGAGTCTTATGGTCTTATGGGTCCTTCTCCTAGAAGGACCTTCCCCTGGGCCTTGGCCCTGGAGCCTCCTGAGGGCTCAATTGCACTTACTGGGCAGAAGGATTACTGCACTGAGCTGGATTTAGCATGTCTATGACCTTTGTTGATGCCTGCCTTGGACCATTACCATTTTACAGATGCCTGGGCAAGTCACTTAACCTCATGGTGCTAACTCTCTAAAACTATGTGTTGCAGAGAATATGGCAGCCTGCACTGGTAGAGATTCCTCATTTAGAACTTCCCAGTGTCATAAAAGGTCCAGTCTCTTTATCTCCTCTAAAAGAAGGAAGACCTAGGTTCCGAGATTACCTGCAGACAATTATTAGCTGTGGGACCCCAGAGAAAGTCACTAAACTTCTCTTGGCTTTAGTTCTTATTGTACAGAATGAATGAAGTAGACTCATTAGCCTCTGAAGGTCCCTTCCAAAACTCTAGGCTTGTGGTTCTGTGAAGGGTTATGGTTGGGTCTTCTCATGCCAGGGAAACTGAGTGGGCTCTCTGTCTATAACTAGGGTTTTTGTTGGTTGTGTTTTTAAGCCTAGCCAAGATGAAGTTTGGGGGGCTGCTCTGTACTTAGGCCATCCGTGATCCCATCCTTAGGAATAGCATCTCTAAATTTTTATCATTAGGAGGGTCCTGAAGTTCAGGATCACATCATTGTCCTCCAGTTCGCTGATATTGGCTCTATTCTCTAGTGAATCAGAATGGAAGACTTTGCTTTTCAGGGCAGGAAGGGAGGAAGATAGATTGAGTAGATGTTACATGTAGATAGAAGAATGTTATGTAGAGATGCTATATATGAATATTATATGTAGATTATTATATGCATGTTATATGTAGGTGGAAGAGTGTTATGTAGGTAGAGATGGGAGGAAGATAGAGTAGATGTTACATGTAGGTAGAAGAATGTTACGTAGAGATGTTATGCACGAATGTTATATGTAGATTATTATATTAATGTTATATGTAGGTAGAAGAGTGTTATGTGGATAGAGATGGGAGGAAGATAGATTCAGTAGATGTTATATGTAAGTAGAAGAATGTTATGAACAAAGTCATAGAAGAGGGAATAAATAAGATGTGCTAGGAAAGAGATTGGCTGTAAAGTTTAGCCATCCCATAGTAGGAGCAGCTCAGTAGCACAGTGGACAAAGCGCTGAGCCTGGAGTCAGGAAGACCTGAGTTCAAATATGACTTCAGACACTAGCTATATGACCCTGGCCAAGTCACTGAACCTCTGTTTGCCTCAGTTTCCCCATCTGTAAAATAGAGAATCATAATAGCACCTACCTCCAAGGTTGTTGTGAGGATCAAATGAAATCACAATTGTAAAGCACTTAGCCCTGTGCTTGGCACATAGTAAGTGCTATATCAATGTTAGTTATTATTATTATTATTATTATTTTCATCATCATCATCATCATCAGAGTTAGTAAACAAGTAGAGTACTGTGTGGGGCTGGTCTAGGTAAACAGAGCCACACCAACTGCTGTCTTCATTAGCACAATACAGATCTCTTAAAGAATATAAGCTCCTTGAGGAGCTTATATCCCATATTGTATTCCCCAGAGACTAGCATAGTACTGGGCACATAGTAAATGGTCCTTTAAAAATGCTTGTTGAATTTAGTTGGACCCTTTCCAAAATAACTTTGGCTTTCTCAAGTTTTAAGCTTTGCTCAGTAATGGTCTCATTATCAATGTCTACCTCTTGACAGAGGAAGTGGCACTTAAATGATAATTGCAATTGAACAAGCTTTTGGTAAGTCCCAGAAGATGTAGATATTTCAATTTAATTTATGAGACATTTGTTAAGCCCCTGTTATGTGGAAGGCACTGTGCTAGGTCCTGGAGATACAAAAGATAAAAATAAAAACAGCCCTTGCCTGCCCTTATAAAAAGTAGTAGCAGCAGCAGCAGCAGCAGCAGAAGTAGCAGTAGTAATAATAACTAGCATTTATATAGTGCTTTAAGGTTTCCAAAGTACTTTACATATGTTATCTTATTTAAAGTCCTTAAAATTTACTAGGGGAAGGGGCAGCTAGGTGAATAGAGCTATGGCCTTGGAGTCAGAAGGAACTGAGTTCAAATCCAGCCTCAGACATTTGACACTTACTAGCTGTGTTACCCTGGGCAAGTCACTTAATCCTGATCGCCTCACCAAAAAGTAAAAAAAAAAATTGGGGGGAGACACAACTTATACACAAATGAATCAATACAATATAAATTGAGGAGGGAAAGAGCAATAGCAACTTTGGAGAACTGTGGAACATGGGAGAGGTGCTAGAGGGCCTGGACAGGGCCAAGTGTCTTGATTTTCAAAGTAGGGAAGAGAATGAGCCTAAAAACTGGAGGCTAGTGACCTTGACTTTGATTCTTGGCAAAATCCTCAATCATGTTATGATAGGGATCGTTCCTGGCCACCTAGAACAGGAAACTGTGACCACAGAGAGTTAACAATGGCTTTCTCAAGAGCAGAGCATGCCAGACTAACCACATTTCTGTTTTGGATAGGATTACTATACTGGTAGGTGAAGGAAATACTGTGGATATAGTTTGCTTAGATTTTGGCAAAGCATTTGACAGTCTTTCATGTTCTCCCTGCAGATAAGATGGAAAGGGGAGAATTAGGTTTTAGTCTCGAGTGAATTCAGATGAAGTTGAATGAAAGGCATTGTAGTGTTGTGGATTGGGCAAAACCTGATGACTTGGAGACCAAAAAAATCCCACTTCATGCACTTAACCAATATAACCCTAGGCAAGTCACATTTCCTTGGGTCTCAGTTTCCTGATCTGCACAGTAAGAGGATTGGTCCCCTCCAGTCATAAATCTGTGATCTCATCAATGACCAAACTAACCATTAGTGTTTCAGAGACAACTTGGAAGATTTCTGCTGCAGCGTCCCAGTTGTTGTCCATTTATATTTTAATTGAAGAGTTGTAGGCTAAATGTCATCTTCCCATTTTGATTATTTCTTTACAGGTAAATTTTACTGCAAAGCTCATTTCATTCACTGTAGAGCCAACAGTAAGCAAAGGAAAAGACGAGCAGAATTGAAGAGACAAGAAGAGGTACGGTTTGGTTTTGGTTTTTCCCCGTGAAATGCCTCTAGCGTAGAGAGGAGTCAAGGTCCTTAATGAGAAGGTGCTTCTCTGTGGCCCCTAGAGATGGCCATCTTGAAGTCTTTTTTTTTTTTGGTTCACCCAAGAGCAGCCCTGGGAGGAGATAGCACTTTTGATAGGAACAAGTGAGCGACAAGGTGTGGAACCTAGGGTAGCACCTTCATTGTTCTGGGACCTCTGAGCCCAGCTTGATCCCGTTATTGGCTCCATTTGGCTTCTGTCTAAGAACCCATATACCCGATGTTCCTCAGTAAATGATTTCGCATTAACCAAGTCCCTGGGAATAGAGCTGAGGATAGATCCTCATGGGACTATCTCTCATCTGTATGTTATTTGCTTTCCTGGCCTGTCCTATACCTTTAGGGGAGGTCCACGGCTAAATCTACCCTATTTCTTCTCTTCAGAATAGCTAGTTATTTTCTCAATTATATGTAAAAATATTTTTAACATTCTTTTTTTTAATTTTTGAGTTCCAAATTCTCTCCCTCCTTCCCCTCTCCTTGACAAGGAAAGCAATTTGATATAGATTATTTGTGCAAAACATGTCCAGATTAGCCATGTTGCAAAAGCAAATGCAGACCAAAAAAAAAAAAAAACAAACAACCCCCCCCAAAAACCAAGAAAAATAAAGTAAAAAAAGCATGTGAAAATCTACTTACAGCCTGCTCTGATTCTAATGCTCTCTTAACAAGGCTTGTCATTCTCGTTTCCATAACACCCTTTTCTACAGCATGTTGCCCAAGATGTACAATCTACCCTTCCCCATAGAGACAGAAGGAGGGAGTAAGGGATGCAGAGAGGGAGGATGGGAGAGAATATTGAAATCTTTCTAGCTTACCTAGCGTACGTGGTTGCTCAGGCCCAGGAAAGATGAGAAGGAGATATTTCTAAGGCCTAAGTTGTTTTTTTCCTCCTAAGTTGAAATGGATCTTTTCCTAGGTAATTAAACTTAACGTGTGTTTTATGAATTAAGAAAGGCTTTCATGTATAGACTGTATCTTAGTATCCCTTTCTGATTCTCTCCGGGCCTCAGCTTCCCCATTTTTTAAATTAGGAGATTGGACTGGATGACCTGAAAAGGCCTTGCTACTCTGAATCGACGAGCCTATGGATATTTTAATGGTCCTGTTGTCTAAAAGTCAGTTTCATATTCGTATTCTCAGAAGGGTCTCAGGTGGTTTGGCCCATGGCTCATCTCCATTGGCTCTGAAGACCGTCCGTCGTCTGAGCGTCCCCTCTGTATGACCTAGGAATCAACACTTCTCTTTGTTCTGTTTCTAAGGAGGAAGCCAAGGAGAAACAGCAGGAAGCAAAGTGGTCAGACCCTTCCCCTGAAATTCTTGGTCCTACTGTCAACCGTCGAGAAGCCAATCCGCCAGGTATCATGACTTCCTTCTTTAGGAAAGTGCTGTACTGGCCCATTAGGGTAACAAGGGATCTGCTTGACATCCCCAGAAGCCTCTGTAACAGGATACGTGGGTTTCTGCATGAGACCGCCCTCCATTTCAGGGACAATGCTTACAACTACTGCTATATGTATGAACTCCTGAGCCTTGGGGTGCCTCTCCTCTATGTGCTTTTTGAGGTCCTGGCGGACATATACAGAGAGTCAGAGTCCCCTCTCCAGAGTACGCGTGATTGGGTACAACGATACCTCTGGGTCAAACTTAGCTGAAGCTTATTGTATGCTCTATTTTTTCCCCAATACACTCTCTCCCAAAGTGCCTGTGATATTCCAAAGTGTAAAATTGTAGTATTTTTGCAGTTTGCTAGTGCTCTGAATTTCAAACAAACTATTTTCAATCAAGTTAGATACACACGCAGAGAGCCCATCTGCCTCAGCCTTGTCCAAGGAACATGGCAGAGGTAGATGTCCTCATGGCGCCAATGTGTGGAACTTACATGAAGGATGTGTTTTTACCATGATAATGAGCCATGTTTCTGGGTTTACATTTCAAGATTTAATAGACAAGACAGAACCTTTTTTCTAAAAGAGTTTTTTAAAAAAAATGTTTAGGGTTAGGGTGGGTTTGGGGTGGGGGGAAGGAGGGTGTTATGTTGGGGAACCGGGGATTTGTCACTTGGGGTGGTTTTTAGCTTTGCTGTAGATTGTAAGGTTTACCACTTATGCAGATGATGATGTGAGATTTTCAAAACAACACCTCATAAATGAACATGCCTCCTCCTGGCTAATGGCTTCCAATTTACTTGCCTAGACTAGACAATTTTTTTTTAATGCTCCTAAATCTCGATCATTGAAGAATAAGAATGTGGACAAGCAGCGCGTAATTAAAATAGCGTGCTGCAGGAAGAGCTCAGTGGGGCAATAGCAATAAACTGTTCTCTCAGAGTTAGAAAGATTTACTTTCCTCCTTGTTTTGACTTGAAATACCAGGCGTTTTTTTACTTCCCAAACCCCAACATGTCAATACACAGAAGCACCAAATGAATTAATATTGCAGGGACTTATTATCGGTGCCCAGCCACCCACTAGCAGCACAGTTAGGAATTAACCAATTATAGCAATACGGAGAGAGGTGTGGAAGGGGCCATTTTCCTGCAGTTTACACTTGACCCTATCTGACCACCCCTACTCCTGAGCACAGACTGCTTAGGTACAGTAAAGTCAAGGGGTGGTCAGGTCTCTGGCTCTGAGGGTTAGGACCTCAGCCCAAGGAGCCCAGGCATCCTCTGGCATCATATCCACTGACACAGAGACCAGTTGGAATGTGAGTCATCAGTCTTTGGGGGCAGGTGGGCGGAAAGCAGGGAAGCCTTAACAGCTGGAAAATAAATGCCCACCCAGATTCTGTTACTGAATGCAGAACCTGTGATACATGCTTCCAGATGGTACAGTGTCAGGGAGTGGGCTCTTATGCAGGCAATATCTGTCCTCACGTGCAAGGAGGAGTTTCATTTAGAGGCAGCATGACATAATGGAGAGTGGTGGACTTGGAGTTGGAGAGACCTGAGTTCAAATCCTGCCTCAGATCTTTACTAGCTACATGACCCTGCATGACAAGTCAGCCTGTCCAGGTCTCAATTTCATCATTTATGAAATGAAGGAGTTGGATTTGATGACATAGAAGTTTCCTTCCAACTTTAAGGAGATGATTATCTCACCATATTTATTTAGAAAAGGAATGATTATGTCCTCTGGTCTGGAGGAAACCTTAATACACTGTCTTTATAGACAAAGTAAGGTGTGGAGTTGAGGTAATTATTCATTAGGGTTCTCGCCCATAAATTTACTTGGGAAAAAAAAGCCCTTGGGGCCTTGACTACATGTTTTAAACCGGCTGTCAACATTGCCCAAACTATTTGGAAAGTTACGCAGCCCCTGTGGTCCATGTTGCCTGTGTAGACACAGTGCCTGGTGCACAGTAGACACTTAGTAAAAACTTGTCGATTGATGGATCGGTGGAGTCAGAATGGGTCTCTTGATGCCAAGTGTCCTCCCAGCCTTATTTTCCCCAGAGTTAATGATGCTGCTCTAAGCCCCGTTGGGTTTTCTTTTAACTCTATATCATAAGTTAACCTCTATTTGGAGACCCAGAAGACTTTTCAAGTTTTAGAAATTAGAAAGCCCAATTGGCTTCCTGGATCTCCTGTAAAGACTTTGAAGATCCTATGGGAGAATGAGGGCCCTGGCAGTCTTGTTGAGTCTGTGGCCAAATCTTGGCTACCAGGAGCCCAGTGAAGAAGTGGTGCCATCTAGTTTGCAAGAGGGCTTCCGAGTTGTAGGGAGGACGCTTCACTTGCTGTACATCTGGGAGCTACCAAAATCACAGAGCTGTTTGGCTTAGGGATTTCAACAACTGTTCATTCTCAAGGTGACAATGCACACACCTTTCTCGAGGGTACACTGCTCTTCACGACTTTTATCCACATTCCATCTTGGAAAAATCACTGTGCAGTTGAAGCGTTTCCTAGATGGCTCATTTCTAAAGGTTTATTTTTTTTCCCCCCGAGTCTTATTTATAGCAATAAGAGAGCAATTCTGAACTGTCAAATACCGAGCCAAAAGGCGAGATGGGAAATAATGATGTAGTGGGAATTGCAAGACCCTGTAATGTCTGTTCACTCCAAGAAATGAACCTACTGGTGACAAAGCAAGGAATGTCCTAGGTATATCTGGGGTGGGGTGGGGTACTTTAGAATTCAGAACCCAGGCAGAAATAAGTAAAAAAAAAGTATTGCCAAAAAATTACTTCGAAAGGGATATTGGGGAAGATTTTTGTTGGCCTCTGACAACTGCCATGTGCTGGGATCAATAATATACAACATTTATCTATCATCTGAGGTTCCAGTTGAGAGCTTGGTATCTAATTATTTAACATACATTTATTAAGCACTTTTTGTATACTAAGCGTTGTTGCAAGGTACTAGACATGCAGAGGCAGAAAATGAGATGACGCCTGCCCTCCAGAAGCTTCTATTCATCAGAAAGGTTCATATCTTGAAGAAATAGTAAAGTTTGACTTGGAAATTTCGCTCTTCTGATGATTTCCAGTGTTTCTAAACTGCTTTTGTTTTCTTCACTCCTGCCTCAACTAAACTCTCTCTTCTTTCTCTCTTTCCAATGTCTCACTCCTGTCTTCAGTTCTTTACAACATTCCAGTGTTACCACCTATCCTTGGCTGACACCTTTCTGCTCAGAGGTGACTGGTCTTCTTGTCAATTGTGAGCACCCACTATTAACCCCAAATACACTTCCAGGGCAGCTTTATCCCTCCTTCCTTCCCCCAAGAGCGTTGATCTTAACAGACTAGAGTGCCTCGTCTTGTAAGGAATGAATGCTGGGGTGGAGCCGATTAATAGCATGGTACAGGGTGGGATTCAAGACCAGTTGCTTGTTTTGGAACCATGCTTCTCTTCCCCAGCCTCTCTGGCACTGCATGTCAATGTTTTTGCATGCTTTCTCCATCCAGCTAGCCGTGTTCTAATACCACAACCAACCCACCTTCCTTGAAGGTGCTAACTCTGCCTGTGTGAGACAAGGCCAGTAGTGAGTTCTCTACCATTGTTCAGAAAGGCCTAGCTTTTTGAGAAGCCTCTATACAACTGTAAAAACAAGTTTTCCAACTGAAAAGTGGCTTGAATTAAAAGACTTTTGGTGTCCTTGACCAAAACTGCAGGTGACTTTTCCGTAGTCATATTTTATTTATATATGCCAGCTAAGAAGTACTCTGTAATTTGAAGCTGTGTTCAGATAATTGCAGTCCCATCTTAGCCATCTTCCTAAGCCAACGAGGGGCCTTGGGGATTCCATGTACTTTCCTCATGGACACAAGGCTTTGCCATGAGAGGAGCTTTCCACCAAAGCTCAGAAAGCTCAGTCCAGAGCAACAGACCTCAGAGGTCAATGGAATGCTGTCAAGGACACAGTCAGGCCACATCTGGCAGCAGCTGGGCTAAGAAGCCTAGAAGCTCCTCAAGGTCCTTACAAAAGGCCATTTCCCTGCCAATGTATTTATCTGTGGCAGCAAAGCAACCAATGTGAATGTGCTCTTTTTGAAATGAATTGAGCTGTTCTCTTAAAGGCAGAGAGCCAGGCCTTCCTCAGCCCTGCTTTGTATGAATACCTGTCCCTGCCTGTCCTTGCTGGGAAATACACCACTGTTTCTAAAGTCCTTTGAAGACATGCATGTTAGCCCTGGCTGGGCGTTTGGCCTCGTCCCGCCTTTTCAGACTGTCAGCTGGTGCTACCTTCCTCTCACTTCTCTTCCAGTGCAGAGTGCTCTTCTTTCTAAAGAATGCCAACCAAAGATTCTGTCCTCCTCATCTGCAACCTTTCTAGCTTCCCAACCCTCCTGTGACACATTTTGTGACCTTTGGTGACTTTGAGACATGTTCTGTAATTAACTGTTCACACAGAACCCTGTACTTTGCACACCCTGAACGTTGTTTAGCTTTATTTATGGTATTTGATGCTGTAAATGAAAATAAATGTGGTTCTTTGTAAACCTCAGTGTTTCCTCTCTTCCTTTTGAAGTGGGATTTTTTTTCTAAAGACATGGATCCATGGACTGATTCTGGGCTTAAGCCTTCCCTTAAGCTGCTGAGGGCATCACCTGCACTCGCTGGGACCTTGGACTCTTGGGGCTATGCTGGGGCATTTAACAAAGGAAATATTACCCCAAGGTAATATTTGGGCAATGTTACCAATGTTCTCAACAGGGCACTCTGCTCTCTTTCTTCATATCTTATCCTTTTCTGCTGTCAACATTGGACATACTATTTAGTCGCTAGTAGATCTTACACTCTCTCGGTACTAGGCTCAGCAAAGCCATTTATGCCCAGGCTGTATTGGTAGCTGGCCTGTTCCCCTCACCACCGCAGCTCTGCAAGGGAGGTGTAAGTGCTATTAATATTCTTTCAACAGACCGTGTTATAATGTATATGTCCAGTATCACCAACACCGGTTGTGGAAATCTGCAGTAACAGTTGATGGATTGGTAAAAGGGGATGGTTTGGGAGCGGGGCAAAGATCAGATGAAAGCAGTAGATAATTCAGAATCAAGGTGTCATACTTGTGCCATTCTATATCTCATCTGGGCTTCCTCCAGGGATGACTAGCAACAAAACCTCAGTTCCCTGTGCATTTGAAATTTAATTAGAGTTAAATGTAAAGTACTTCACTTGGGTTCAAAAAATTAACTGCACGAATCCGGGATGAGGGGAGCACGACCACCCATATCTGGGTGTTATATTGGATCACAAGCTCAATATGATTCAACAGTGCAGCCCCAGAGCCACAGAGCATGAATGCAATATCTTAAGCTATGTTTGTGAAAGTACGTTATTCAGGATTAAGGAACTGGTAGCCACGTCCTGCTCTGACCTAGGAGTGGTGAGGGAATGGTCAATGTCTTCAGATTCTTGAAGGCCTGTAGGCTGAGGTATGCTGGATCCAGCTGGAACTGCCTCCCAAAACCCTATTGTTAAATTTTCAGTGTGAGCGTATATACCTTGAAAATCACCAAATGCTACAAATCAGGGCTTGATTTATTTTGTTTATTGTCTAGATTTCAGAAAGTGAAAGAGGAGATGTTAATGCAGAATAAACTTACAAATGTGTAGGGTGTACTCTTTTTTTCTTGGTGAGCTGATTCTTAAATATTTACCAGCATGCACACACACACACACACGCACACATATATATGCAGACATCTGCTTGATGTAAGGGGAAACTACTTAACAACTAAAACTATCTTAAAATGGAATGGAATAGGGCAGCTAGGTGGTACAGTGAATAGAGCATTGGCCCTGGAGTCAGAAGGACCTGAGTTCATATCTGGCCTCAGATACTTAATAATTGGGCAAGTCACTTAACCCTGATTGTCTTTTAAAAAATGAAATGAGGTGCTTTAGCAGGTAGTTATGTTGGTTGAAAGGGAGTCTGAAAAATCTCCCTTAAGAATTCAGTCTTATGCGATCAGATCTTTCCACAGATTTTCTCTGGTTGCTTTCCATGAGTCTCCACTTGGATTCATAGAAAGATATATGTAGACCAATGGAAAGAAAACCAGTCTTGGAGTGAAACAAATGGGATGTTAGTCACAGCTTCACCACTAACTCTGGAACATTATAAGAATATAAGGAGGTAACAGACATGGAAGGGGAAAGGAAAGGAATAAGCATTTCTATAGCACCTACTATGTGTCAGGAACTATGCTAAGCACTTTACAGAATTGTCTTATTTGATCCTCACTACAGCTTTGGGAGGTAGGTAGGTACTGTTATTATCCCCATTTTACAGGTGGGAAAACTGAGACAAACAGAGGTTAGGTGACTTGTCCAGGGTCACACAGCTAGTAAGTGTCTGAGGTCAGATTTTAACTCGGTTCTTCCTGACTCCAGGCCCCATGCTCTATCTGCCACAAAGCGCTTTCATTAAAGTTGAAAATGATATACGCATATTAAAGTGAATAAAATCGGCCTTTCACAGACACTCAGTTGGTTATTCTCCGATATCGTTGCAATGGCATCTCAATATAACAGACTTCAAAGCCCCCACTAATGGCTAATTTGTTTTTAGTCATGACACAGCAGGCCATAAACCACAGAAGACTCAGCGCAGTCTTGGGGGGGGGTGGTTGGAGGTAATAGGAAGTAATATATATGACAATGCCTCAGTTAATGAATCCTCTGGGAAGGAAAGTCCTCGAGCAGGCAGTCCCTGGTGTCACACAATCCTCCTGTGAAACACGCCAAACCAGATTGACATATGCTGTGGGGCTCAGCAGTGATGTTTCCCACTTCCCTGTCTACATGGAGGGCTTTGTAGGACCAGACTCCTTCCCAGCACAGCTTTGCTGGAGGTAAACAGGACTGACTTGTAGCACAAAATGAGTACCACCTGTGCTGGAATGGGCCCAGGTGTCAGGTCTATGCAGGGGGCGGTATGAGTTGTACGTCCACTAATAAGTGCCACCCGTCTCCCTGCCCCCAAACTAGGCAAACACTTTCTGAGACTTATTGGGTTCTGGCTGTGGGGACAGTTCCACCTGGAAGGCTTAGATTCCTTGGAGCTTTTGATTGGCTGGTGGGGGAAGTGAGCAGACCTTCCTTCCCCTACCCCCACTAAGGTTTGTAAAAAACACTTGTTAGCTCATTTTCAATTTAATAAATATTTGTTAAGTGCCTGCTGTGTGGCAGGCACTATGCTAAGCACTGAGGGGAAGAGAGGCAAAGGACAATCCCTGCCCTCTGGAAGCTTAAAGTCTACAGGCAAGCAAATATATGCAAAGCAAGCTATATACAGGATAAACAGGAAATCATTAAAAGACGCAAAACACTGGAATTAAATGGGGTTGGGGAAGGCTTCCTGTGGGAGGGGAGGTTTTAGCTGGGACTTCGAGGAAGCCAGGGAAGTCGTTAGTCTGAGTGGAGGAGGGAGAGTGTTACAGGCATGGGGGGACAGCCAGAGAAAATGTCCAGATGTGGGACATGGAGAGTCTTGTTTGTGGAACAGCCAGGAGGCCGGTGTCATTGGACTGAAGGGCAACTCCCAGGGAGTAAGGTGGAAGAAGACTGGAAAGGTAGGAGAGGACTAGGGTATGAAAGGCTTCGAATGCCAAAAAAGGATTTTTTTTTATTTGATTCTGTGGGCAATAGGGAACCACTGGAGTTTATTGAGGAAGGGTAGACTGATCAGACTTGTGCTTTAGGAAAATCATTTTAGTGGCTGAATGAAAAATGGATTGGAATGGGGAGATACTTGAGGCAGACAGACCCACCAGCAGCTGTTGCAGTAATCAAGGGGTGAGGTGATGAGGGCCTGCATCAGGGTGGTGGCAATGGCAGGGGAGATGGGGACGTACTCAAAAGACATTGCAAAGGTGAAATCAACAGGCCCTGGCAACAGCTTGAATATTGGGAGGGGAGGGGGGATGAAAGATAATGAGGAGTCCAGGATCGTTACTAGGTTGTGAACCAGAGGGACTAGGAGAATGGTGTTACCTCTACAGCAATAGTGAAGGCAGGAGTGGGGAGTGTTTAGGGGAAAGGATAATGAGCTCAGGTCTGGACGTGTTGAGTTTAAGATGTCTACCGGACATCCACTTTGAGATGGCAGTTGGAAATGCAAGATTGGAGGTCAGCAGAAAGATTGGGGCCGTTTATTTAATACAATTTAGAAAGGCAGTACAATTTATTAGAAAGATTTGAACATCAGAAGAGCTCAATCTAGGTCAATTCTCTGCTGTTTACTGACTCTGTGACCTTGAATTGACCTAATCTCTCTGAGATTCGGCATCTTCATCTGTAAAAATGAGTGTAATAATGCCTCTCCTCCCTTCCTCACAGGGCTGTTGAGGTAACAGATGTGACAGTATTGCTAAATGTGAAGAAATACCAAAAAAAGAAAAAAAAAGAGGGAAATGGTGCAGGCCAATATCTCCTCTTCCTAGGTTGACCAGGCCAGCATCATAGAAGGGACCACCTTAGAAAGGTCTTCTAGTCTACACCCCCTCCTACACACTCTTTGCGTCCTAAGTCCCAGAGGTTGTGACTTGCCCAGAATCACACAGCCAAAGAGGCAGAGTTAGGGTTCAAAACCAGGACCTTTGACATCAAATCCAATGTTCTTTCTTATTTTGCCATTGTACCAAATTACCTTTCCATTATACTTTGGGTAGGCAGGGAATGCAAAATCCTTGGTTTTAAGGTCATTAACAATGTAAATTTATCCAGTTGGTTCTTTCCTTAAAAGTCAGAGGGAAACAAGAGACCGAAACACTTGTTTGTCCCATGGACCCAACCAAGTGCCTCCATGGGGCCTGTCCTCATTATTCTTCAGATGTCTCCCTGTTGAACCTGATCATCGGGGCTTGAACAAAGTTCCTGCAGCCTTTCTGCCCAGCCCCCAGGGAAGCTTGGCTTGGTTTCTCTTCATCTTTCCCACTCTATGAAGATCCCACTTGGTTCTACTCTGCTGGACACTGGGACCTTCCCAAAGAATAGGATAGCAGCTCCCCTTGGCTCGAGAGGGTATGATGAGACAGGCAGCTGGTCAGGGGTAGGGAAATTGGGGTCTCCATGTCTCACCTCTGATTACAGTCATCCCTGGTTGGCTGGCTTCTCAAATCCAGAAGCCTTGGCTACCCCCAATGTGACTCAGGGATCTAGCTTGAACACTCTGTAACAGTCTGACTCTTACCATAAATCTCAATGGCAGCAGCTGTACAATATAATGTAATGTGGTGGAAACAGTATTGGGCTTAAAAACAAGACCAAAAGCCTGGAGAATAGGATTCAAATCCTAGCCCCGCCATTTCCTAGCTCTGTGACCATGGGAAGGTCATTGAAACTCTTTGCCTCAGTTTCCTCATCTTTAAAATGGGGTTATTAATTGCCCCCTCTACCTCATAGAGCTATTTTAAGGGGAAAGCTTTGTAAACTTTTCAATGGCCTTGGAAATGTGAGCTATTACCATGATTACTACGTTAATTATGCATAGACTCATAG